CGATGGCTCTTATGGTGTTGCTTCAGAGTTTGAGGAAGGGTACATGTTTTTGAGACCAGTGCAAACAAACCACTTTCCAGAGAACTGTGAGCAGACCTAAACAAGGTTGCGTACTTCACATGCTACTTTGCAAATAGTGGTCTGTACGTGATGTGTTTGCTAGCACGTCTATTGTTTTTGCGTCTCCAGTCTGTTGCAACAGACTTAAGTTCAGAAAGCTGGTCAAGATGATCAACCGAAAAGGTTCGACAGCAAAATATCAAACACAATGATTACATAGTTTGAGGCTTCAAGTCTTCTCAAAACAGTATGAACGGAGTGTTGTAGACGCCTGGCATTGGGACCGCTTGTTGTTGAAGTGTTCGAACAAGCAGTGAAACATGAAACAACACACAATATCCAATTTTGGCTTAGAAGCTGTAGAAAAGCACAACACACACATTGTTGCAGAGTGCCGGCTTGTTGTTTGAAAGCTAACATTGTGACATCCGCATTTATTTGTTCCTGTATGTTTTTGTTTGGGAGGTACCAACCAGCTGACAATCTCAGCTCAGGAGCAGCCACTCAGCTGGTTACCCAACCAGCCTTGGGTTTGGACACTTTTGGTTCCCTGGTAGATATACAAGTCGCTTACGTCACCCGACGCAGATGTGATTACTTCCTTCCTCTGCAGTTCGTCATGGATTTGCGGACCTGAACACTGACAGGGCGGCCCGTACTGTCCGTAGATTGTTGATTTCAACATTTGGAGACCAGGTTCTGCGCGTTTTCGCTGATAACTGCGCCTACTTCTCCAGACAACTCAGAAAACAACATGGAGGAGGCCCTCGTGTGGCTTTCAGAATGCCAGAAGGACTTATCACCGATTGTACCTTGGTGTATCAGCCCAAGGCAAAAGATACAAAAGTCACTAGCACCGCAGCATCTCAGGGGGTTGGACCTCCAACACTTCACCTGAGGACAGATCCAGTCAGTGTGTAAGCCTCATATATCCAGGGTTTCTACGCATGAAGGCGCATTGTAGGCCTCGTCAATTTCAAGGAGAAGCTGGACGCTCAAAAAGACACACCCATATAACCCAGCTTTGGTGGGGGGGAATTAAGCAGTCAAAAGGGCCAGGAACTTCGCAATTTTCTGTGTTAGGCGCCTGAAAACCCCGCCTCGGCCTCACTGCTGCTCTCTACATCCACCGATTCCACCGACTCCTGCAGGTGTGCATGCTGTGTAGTTTTGTCTGTTGTGAGCAATTGTCTTTTCTTTTTTGACCTACTCAGAACCTACTGAAGACAAGAAACCAAAGAGACAAGATTGAAGCAGCGACAGCTGGCCCAGAATCCAGCTAAATGTTTGCGCCTGCGCATGAGAACACAATGAATCATACAGAAACACAACAAGCTGCCTGACATCTCCCCCTCCCACCCGTAGCTCTCTTCTCTTGCCTCCTCCTCAGAGCTAATCTCGCCTGCACCAGCAGAGCTGTGTGCTGTCAGGGCCATCGCCAACACCAGCTGCAATTGGGCATGGCTTCCACAAAGTGGGCATAGTCAAGTGTCTCTGTCTGGCTTCTCGGCAGAACATGAGCAATTCACATGCTGAAAGGAAGGTTGCGGCTAGTCGAGCCCAACACTTGTTTACTTCGTCAGGTGTACGTAGCGTCTGCCCTAATCACCACAAGCAGTGGTCCCGTTTGAATCGCGCCGCTCCGAGAAACAGCGGCGTTGTGGCCTCCAACTTCGGCATCGCTGTCCAGGTCAATGCACTTGGCCTGTGAGGCACTGTATCTGTTCCAACGACGGTCGTCAGCTCAAGGCGACAAGGATGCTCTGTGGATACGAGAGGGGAGAACAGCGCTGCTTTGAAACTCAGCCTGTGTTCAGGGAAGAAATTTGTCTGTGGAACTGGCAAAACAGCGACAGGCAAGGAAAAAGAAGAAAGGGCAAAAGGGAAGAGCCCAATGAACAACTTGGTGAGCTTGGTCACGGCCCACTTGGCCACAAGATTGATGCAGTGCTTTACATTGCGCCGCGGTCAAAATGCCACTGGTGAACGGGACTGTCAGAATTCGTTCTCTAGAAGCTTCTAGCTCTTCAAAGGGTTCACGATGACCATCTTCCCCACCATCCAAGCAAACAGGGTATTGGCCAACCAGATTGTGCCCAACAACAGGCTCGCACTCACACCAACACTCCAACATTCAGATATTGGCGTGAAGTTCAATACGGGACCCTTTGGTGGACCTTTGGATGAGGATTCAGGGCCACCAACATAAAAGTCATAGCCAAATGGCTGGAGTCTCACCCCCCACATCCTTTGGAACCGCTTCCATGCGGGGCCGGCGCCTTGGACTTCTTCTTGCCCTGCGCGCGGACCGCTGACATCCCTCTCCCAGCCCTATGCCCCACGGAGGACTATGCGAGCCGAGGGTTTCGAGGTGTATCAACTTGATTAATAGCCCCAGCCGGCTCAAGGTCGACAAGGTCCGAAAAGAAAAAAAACAGATTTTGGAGCCCCTCCTAATTTAATGATCGAGGCATGGAGGTAGGGCAGGAAAGGAAGTGGCAGAAGGCTAGTGCGGGCTATTGAGACCAGGCTGAGCCAATGGGAAAGACAGCTGCTGCCAATTATTGCTGCTGCTTGTGGATTTGTTCTGGTGGAGCCGGCTGGCGTCTTTAATTGGAGGAGGTTTTGGGGGTACAAAACAATCTGTGATTCGGGCACGAGCCTGTGCCCAGGCAATGGGTAAGTTGGGGTAAACAAGCCACAAAAGAAAGGTTCCCCAAAAGCAAACCAATCCCCGGTCCCAAAGATCAGGGTTTCCCACACACCAGAGAACAACAACCAAAGGAAAACAAACCAAACAAGAAAAGGGTTAACCCGCAACCTTGGTCGACAACAGGCCGCACGACTGGTCCCTACCAACCTGGCGGCGGCCCGAGGTCTCTTTCTCCCCCGAGATGCCGTCGGTCGACGCAGGGGTTCGGCGACGCCCATTCGAGGCGCGACGGAACCCAAAACTTGAGCCAAAACACCACAGGTCGGTCACTAACGCGACGTCCCTGATGATGATATGAACCATGGCTAATCACACCCCCCTCACGAGGAGCCCGTCATATGACGGGTGGAGCGTGCCATTTACTGATAGGATTTAACTGCTCGCATGCGTCCGCAAACAGCTGGACACTACCGCCGTCAGCGGTGGAGCAAACCCACAAAGGCAGTTGCGCGACATCCCGGGCATTAAATTCCCGCCACCACCCCGAATTAATCGGGGTAACGCTGTCCAACATACCTTGTGGAAAAGTCCACATGACGACACTAGGTCACAACTGTTTGCATCAACAATGCAAGAAGTTTAATTCTTATCAGAAGCCATGAAATAAAAGATAACGTATGTCCATTAGTACCCTCGCCTAACGGCAAGAGGTACTCCTGACCATGCGTACCTGAATAAAAATGCTTGAATTCAGCAAACCCGGGAGTAACCCCCCATCAGTTTGCTTTCCCTCTCACTCACACTGCTCCCTGATGAACACGTCCAGCAGCCCAGCAGCGGTATGGGAGAGACATGACCTCCGCGCCTCAGCGGTCCGGGAGGAACATCACCACCTCCGCACCGCGCCGACCATTGGAGAACGGACGCAAGCCTATCGGCCGCAATCCTCGTGACTCAGCCTACCGGCTATCGTCACGTCTCCTCCGGTCACGTCCGCCCCGCGCACGGTCCCTATCACGATCCCTCTCGGATCTCCTGCGATCATCTCGCCTTCGATCTCGCTCCCGATCGAGTGATTCATCATCACGACGATCACGAGCATCGTCCCTCCTCCGGTCTCGCTCATCCTCGCGCCGTGGACGGTATCTGCGCCTCCTTGACTCCCTGGAATCCCTGGTGTCCACGGTCCTAACGGACCTCCGAGAAGGAGTACGGGAAACATCCGATTCCCTACGCCTCCTCCCAGAGCGAGAGTTCGTCACGATCTGATTTAGGGCCTCCAGTGCTGACGCGTCCTCACCATTTCTGATGAAATCCCTGACTTGCTTGTTCAGCACTCTGTTGGTGGAGATCGACAAGAAAGCGTCCACCACCGAACTCTCAGGCAGCACCAGAAAGTGACCCTCCACCGGGCTCGCCGCGGCCCGCTCAGCAGACTGCAGCCGGATCTCCCCGCCTTCAGGCTTCTTTGCCATCGCCTTGGAGGCCGTCAAAGGCGCTACCGCATCCTTTGCCGAAGATCTGCCAAGCGCGGAGTGAAGATCATCCCCGCTAGCTTCTCTCGCTGCCGCACCTGGTCTGCTGTCGACGTCGCCAGGCCTCGTGGACGCCTCCCGCTTCGTCGACTCCTTCGCAGCCTCGTCGGGATCCCAACGGGATTTCCTTTCTCTCTTCTGCCCTTCGGCCGACCCGCGGCTACCGCCGGGAGCGTCACCTCCGCCTGTCTTCTCCTTCTTGACCTCAACCTTCGGTTCGGCCTGCTTCGTCTCCTTAGCCACAGCTTTTGGAGCCGGCGGCTCGGCCTTAGGAACCGGGGTCATTTTAGCCTTAGCACTCGGCCTGGCCCCTTCAACCACCATCTCGGCCCAAGACTTCTTCGGCTGAGCTGCTGCTGTATCAACCTCCATTGGAGCAGGTCCAGCATCATCCTTCGCCTTTGGGACAGATGGGCTACCGCCCTTACCAGATCCATTACCTGGCACTTCACCTGATTTTGGTGGTGGGCCGGAAGGACTACCGCCCTTACCGCCCTTTTCCCCTTTCTTCCCTTTTCCTTTTCCGCCCTTGGGGACCGGCTCCTGCTTGGGACCAGGACCCGGCGCAGCATGATGCACCGATTGAAGTCCCTCGATGTCCACGTTCAATGGTTCGGGTTGACGACCGTCAAGAACCGTCCTCACCCTTTCGTCACTAACGTAGACGAACGGGTCACGGAAGGGTGCGGGAGGCTCCGACTGTCCGGCGCTGATCGCCTTCTGCACCTTGGCTATCGCCTCCTTCAACCTCTTCTTCTCATCGTACCCTGTCTCCGATACCATGTACTTCCTGAGCTGCGAATCAACGCATGACTCTCCAGGATGTCCACGTCCTTTCGATGGGTCGGGTACAATGGGGTCAGATGACCAGCCGCGGAACCAATCACGTATGCCATCGGAATATAGAATGACAAGTACGTGTCATGACGAGCGAACTTCCTAACGGAAGTCGTCATACGCCTACCCCACTGAGCAGCGTGTCTTGGGTTGGCCCGGAAGTACTCCGTGACCGACTCAAATCTATCGACTTGGTTGGTCTTGATCAGGTGCTTCGCCACCCACTTCTCCACAAACGCATCCGAGGCCGAAATCCCGGACACATAGGAGAATTGGAATAGCACCTTCGCCAGCTCATCCCACGCCGCATCGACACCTCCCTTGTCTTCACCAAGATAAGGGGGAAGTCTGATGCCGCTCTGCACCGTCATCCTTAGATCGGATGCCATCGAATAGGAAATCAAATTCCTCTTGATGACTCCGACCACTTCGGAGGGAATCCTCCTGGGCTTGAACTGCCCCATGGTCCTCACCCACTCCGGCACGATGTGGCACCTTTCGAAGTCCTTTTCCTCCGCGTTGGGGATAAAGTTCGGGTAAAAGACCGGGAGCGCGCACCCGGGACACAAGTGCATCCCATTTGGCATCAATTCTGCGCACCTCAAGCAGAACGTGGCAGTCACATTCAGCCTGATCTCTTCCCGTGATCGCCTGTGCTCTCCCCTAACGGGGGTGAAGTCACCGTAGTCCCATGCCCGATGGTACACTATCGTGTAATCATCGTACATATACGCCGCCTTCCAAGCCCCCATGTGGATCTCGTTCCTAACGGCAAGAGTCTTCCTTCTTGTCAAAAACACGGGTCCAACCAAGGACCAGTGCACCCGAAGATCCACCATTACCACCACGTACCTGCCGGAGTAGTTCCGCAGCCTGTCCCTGACATACCACGAAGGCGATACCTCGGCATCCGGCGCCATGGCTCCCACAAGTGGGATCAGGCCCTCATCCTGTCTACCATCCCCAATGGTCTCGTACACATCGGGCCTCGTGATCAAAATCTCGATCATGGCCTTTCCATTTCGCCTCACCCTTTGGAGCTGAACCGCCTTCCGAAAGTCCGAGAACTTCATGATGACGTACCCCACCATGGGGAGTTCATTCCAATGCATCTCATACATCAGAGATCCGCCAGGTGCATCTTCCTGAGTATACCTGTGCCTAACGGCACTGTAACTCAAGTCGCGTCCGATCCGCGTGTGCCTAACGGCAACCAACCTGGTGCTCTCTTTGAGGAGAACGCCATCCCCGTCGTACATGACCATGAGCATCGCCTCCACTTGCCCTATCGGGAAAGCTTTGAGCGTCGGAATGAAGAACTTCCAAGACATCTCAGCGTTCTCCATACCCGAAATCTCCTTCAGGAACCAGATGGCCTGGTCACTTTTCACCCAGTTTCCAGCCTCACGTCCGGTCTCCTTCAGCACACGTTCCTCGAATAACTCCGAGACTCTCTTTGAATTGATGACCAAACCGTCGAAATCGCACGAGAGCAGTCTCATCAACTCCTTCGCCGCCTCCCGTCCTGCAACAGTGCCCACGGTCTCCTCGTAGTTCGGGAGGTATTCGCCCAACCTCGTCTTCGAGGGAACCACAATCTGGCAAGTGACGGCCTCATCAGGGATAACTCCCGTTTCCCTTAACTCTGGATTGATCTCTCGCCTATCGGCAAGATAATCCTCCTTCCCATCCAGTATCACAAGATTGTAGGTCATCTTGCTCGCCGCCCCACTAGGCCTGAACTTCCTGCTATCATCCAACTGGTCAGGAGCAAAGGGTCCACTAGGGGCGGCCGCACTCACCAGAGGCGCTCCTCGCCCAGAGCAGAGGTGCTTCTTGTGAAAGTTCACCATCTGATTCAGCTGCGATAGTGCGTAGGCACGATCCTCCAATGACGCACTCTTCATCCCGGCCTCAGTCAGAGGAGCCTCAGGCTTGTCATAACTCGCCTTTCCGCCCCATCTCGCCGCGACCAGCTCAGCAGACTTCACAGGGTCGATCATATTTCCCGACCACTCAGGCATGTTGCTCAACCTCCTAGTCAACGCGTCTACCGACGCAGCCAAGTCTTCGTCCGTCACGGTGTAAGGGTCGACCTTCTCCCTGTCCTCTTGACCCACATCCGGAAGCCTATAATCCCCGCGGATGGCCTCCAGCGCGGCCCTCTCGGCTTCCTCAGCCTCCTTCTGCGTGGCCACTGCCCTCGGAATCAAGAGCGCTACCTCGGCCGGCAACGACTTCTCCATGTCTATCGGAGTGTTCTTGGGAAGGA